CTTTAATGCCCTTTCTAAATTTAAATATTTATAATTATCATCATTTATATGGATATTAAGTAGAAATATTTATGACTCTACTGCAGAGTTTCTGCTAAGGACTAGTTTTAGTGAAAATTCTATTTGTACAATATCCTAGCCGTAATTTTAGGATGCAAAATTCTGGTTTTGTCCACTACAACAAAAATGGAATTCTGAAGGATGTATTTTAAATTAATGGCAACTGGTAAGCTGAGAAATGAATGATCATTGAATGGTCATTGAATGATCTTCTGTTTTTCAGCTATTTCTATCAAAAGCATACTTTAGTGACATCTTGGTAGTTATTTTACTTTGTACATTTATGCTAAGTATAAATCAACTTTTTTTTTCAATTTGGCAGGTTTAGTCATTCAATTGCCAACTTTCAGCTAAAAATATAAATGATGAATATAAATCTCAATGGTATATATATATCACACTGGTGAGCTTAGATGCTTAAAACATGGTTTGAGAGAGAAGATTCACTGTTTTGAGAGAAAACTAAAGAGTGCTAGGATTAAAGACAGGACAATGATGTCTAACCTCCCGTTCTTTAGCTTGTGTCTAGACCCTTTTTTAAACATTTGCAAAATAAAAGTGCGAGCTCTTGAAGGTCAGGGACTACAGTGACTTTATTTATGTTGTATCCCTGTGGAACAATTAATCCAGTGTAATAAACCAAATTATACCCAATTAATCATGTTGAGACTGTGAGAAATACACATACAGCAAAAATTTACATATATTGCATAATTGTATTTCACATACACTGAATTAACTAAGAACATGTGATTAGCCTCTGTATATTTCATAGATTTTTAAGCAATTCATGATCCAACTTCTATTTCTCTGAGTTAATAGAAATCTACCTAAATTTACAACATCCTTTAAAAAGTCACATAGCAGTTCTTTTCATGACACATTTTTGAAAAAAATAGAATTAATAATTTCTTGATAGTTTAATAATATTATCATGAATATCATGATTGCATATATATGTCACCTAAGTGTGTATGTGTGAATATATATATATATATATATATATGAACTTGCTTTTACAGCAAATAATTCATCTAAATAATGCTTCTAAAATATTTTTGTATTTCATCTTGTATTTTAAAATAATTTTCTCTTGCTCCTAAATTAGAGGTTGTCAGTTTATTTTACTATAAAAGTATTTGCTTCTAGAAATCAACTTGTGAAATTTTGTTACCTAAAGTCGTAAACTGAAATAAAAATATTTAAACAGCATGTCACATCTGACTCTAATAGCAAATAGACTGAGAATGAGAACCTGAGAGTCTCTCTTGTTATTAGAAAGTTTATAAAGAACACAGTAATCTCATTTTAGGTATTTTTGACATTATTTTAACCACTAAGAAATTTTTGTTTGGTTTCTGGCCTTATTTTGTACAGTGATTTTCTTCCCAGTCATGCATACTTTAAATCACAGGTGGCTTTACAGCTATGTTTTAGAGTCACCATACTGGAAAAGAAGAGCTAGTAGTTTGATTGGATGACTTTATAAGTTACCATCCAATGGAGCTCAACTGACTAAAAGGCAGTGCTATAAAAAGAACTAACAAGAATTAATTGATTTATACCTAGAACCAACTAGGAATGTACTTGGAAAATAAGAATACATTGACATTCTATTTGCAGTAACATTAAGAGTAAATTGTTTTCAAGTGTTTCTACTTTAACACAGTGGATCACCATGACTTTGGCCCATTTTCCCAAAATTAAAGGCTATGATCCTGCACTGTCAACTCAGCACACAAGTCTTGCTGTGACCTCCTCTGCTATATGTGGCTGCAGTTGAGGCTAACTTAGAAATATAGTTAATGGTCAACAAATGCAAACCTTCAGTCCTTTTAATTGTATAGCTGCAGATTTCTCATTGTTTCCAGAGCATGAAATATTAGTTAGAAAGCACTGGAAGGGAAGTGTGCAGATTGATCTCATCACTCACCACTTCACCCACAAACAGGTAATATTCTCCAACTCTAGCCATATCCAAGTAATAAATGCTCCTTTAACATGCTGTATTGATCAGCTTTTGCCCTGATGATGCTGCAAGACAAACTGCCAAATAAACACAGGGCCTTGAAGTAGTTAACTACTGTTCATGATTTTTCTAGTTCCCAAGTCTATGTAGTAGCTGGAGCAGATTTACTTCAGGTTACATGGGGGGTGGGGGAGCTTTGCTCCAGTCTTTGACTTTGTCTGCTCCACAGGTTTCGACAACCTCCTCATTCCAAGGGTTACCTGCTTCATCCTGTTCTTTTGGTGAACAGCAGAAGGACACAAGGCCTCTAAGACCTTGGCTTGGATCTAAAGGGTTAACTCATTGGTTTGCACCCACTGACCTAGCACTGACAGAGCCAAACCTACAGACTCGAAGAGACACAACCTGTGTATTCATGATTACATCAGCAGCAAGTATGACTGGGTAAATACTAACAAGTACTTGTAGACTGAATGAATATTCTTTTAAAAATCAAGGGACTTCACTTTTTTCTAAAGCTTAAACCTAGCTGAGTATTTTTAGTAATGTAAGTTTACTGTTTTCCCAAATAGTCTTTTTGTTTTTAGAGTTTTAGTTGTTACAAGTAGTTTACTACATGAGTGAAATTTAACCTACTCAGACTTCTTCCAATTAGACCTAAAGTTCCTCTGGGGAAAGAAAAATGTGTGCTTTCCCTTGGGTAAGACAGGTCTTTTAAATAACTGAAATAATTTTTCAATTGTAAACATTCTCAATGACTTCAACAGTTTTTCCCCAATAAGTCTATTGTCCAAAAGTTCCTGGGAACAAATGAGTTTCTCAAATTTCAAATATTTTTGATATAGTTTGTAAATATAAACAGAGAATACCTACTTCCAGTGGCTCACACACTATCAATATTCCTTTTTTATTATAATTCTCCAGTTATATTTACACTTCTCCCTATGGGCACATGTTCCACTCACCTAACACCAAATTCTCTTCCCCACTCCCATCCTTCCTCACCCCGTTTCTTCTGATCAATAGTAATTTTTACTAAGTTCAAGATTTGCACCCCTATGTTTATAGCAGCACCATTTACAAATAGCTAAGCTATAGAAACAACCCATATGCCCAAAAATAGATGACTGGATCAAGAAGATGTGGTACATATACACAATGGAATATTACTCAGCAATCAAAAAGATAAACACATGCAGTTTGCAGCAACATGGATGGAGAGGAAGGGATCATGCTCAGTGAAATGAGTCAGAAAGAAAAAGAAAAATACTGGATGGTCTCATTCATAGAAGGAATTTAGAAAACCTAAATAAGGGACCAGGAAAAGGACTAATACAAAGTAAAAATCAAAATCAACAAGCAACTATAAACCAGAGACACACTACGGGGGAGGGGAGTGTCAGGGAGAGGAAGGACTAGGGTCAAAATAAGGGGGGGGTGGGAATTGTATGGGGAATATAACCAAAATTAAAATGCATACATTGTGCAAAAATGAAAAGTGATTAAGAATTATATAAAATAAAAAAAAGATTTGTTTTTATGTTTTGCCAGTGTATGTTAACACTATCAATATTCTAATTTATATACTTATTTTAAAGTACTTACATAATACAGATTGATAAAACATGTTTAAAATTATTAAATTGTTTAGGTACAAAGGAAAATAATATAAAATATGCCTATGACCTAGGATTTGAACTATTAACATATTTGTATATGCAATTAGAACTGTATGCAACAGAAATCATTACATGTATAGTTGAAGTCTGATTTCCCAGTACCTTCCTAATATTTCCTAGTACCTTCTCCTCCCCTCAAGAGATAACCACTAGCTTAAATATGTATAACAATAACATATTCTAAGTCACAAGGTAAAAATCTACATATATCAAATAATTAATCTTACAGACACATTTTTGCAATTTATTAGAAATCAGTAAAAAATATAAATAGCACATGCATGTGAAAAGAATGTATTTTCCTATATTGACTGCAGCATTCCAGTTAAGTTAAATGTGTTTTTAAGTCTTTAATTGTACTACTACTTGATCCAGCACTAAAATTTTAAAGTTGAAACAAAATCTCTACCTTCCTTCCAAACACAGCAAGGTTTTGAAATGTTTTAACTCTGATTTCTTTCTCCCTTTTTACTTATAATTGCTGTGTAATATTTTAGTTCTATCTTTATTTTTGTATCACACAAATAATTCTCTCCTAGCCCTCCTCATCCTTTTCTATTATCTACAGATTTGTAAAATAGTGTAATAGATTATGTTAAACCTTGGTTATATCACCCATCCCATCAAACTGTCTACCTAACCTTTGGTCCATGAGCACATTTGCAAAATAGACCTTCTTATATTTAACTGAAATTCTCTAACAGATATAATTAAAACTAGGACAGTTTTGTATACATCTGAAGAAAAAGTAAAAAACTCATTAATTCAATTTTTTTTTTTAGATTTATTTATTTATGCATAAAAGAACTGGGGTACAGGCTAGAGGTGCAGAGGGTAAGAGGATTCACCAGAGACAGAGTGGAGAGCAGAACAGGCAGACTGACTGAAATACACTGCTGAGGAGACCCGCAGGTGAGTCTGCTGCACCATGTGGGTAGCTCCGTGGCTGGCAGGGGATAGAAATCATGCTGCAGAGGCTGAGAATAGTTTCACAGTGCTGTGCTTAATGCCTTGCACCACCAGGGAGGCCCTCTTTCATTAAATTAAAAATGAAAATTTATTGGCAATATCACAGTCACACTTACACTTAGAAAGTTAAGTGAATGTTTAATTATTTTGGTTGGCAATGAGTTATATTTCCCTGCCAATTCTTTTTTTGTATAACTCCTTATTTCTATTGCAAATTTGCTCTTATGTTTGAATAAAGTCATCTTCTGCTTTGTGGTAAATGTATTTGTGGTTAAAGCATACATTGGCTTCAGAGATTAGAATGACTTAAGAAAATCTCCTACCTGTCCAGCAGTATCCAAGATGTCCAAATAAGCCGGCTCATTATCAATTCTTACTTGGGTCTTATAAGCATCTTCTGAAAATACACAAGACAAAGCTTATATTTAAATATATTCAACAGAATAGTTATTGTTTTTTTTTTAAACGGTGACTTAGATAATTTCATTGTGGCTAAATCTAAGCGAAAGAATATTGATAGATAAAAACTAAGAGATAAGTCAAATTGGTTTATGAATATACTTAATGGAGTCATGTTAGTGAGACATCTGAAATAAGACTGCTTGTGCTGTCTGACTTTAAAAAAATCACTCTCTCTAAAAATTTGAAAATGTGATGATATCTATATTTAACAAATACATGAAATCCTGGAGTTGTTCCAATTATTCAATAAATTAATGTATGGAAGGCAGATGACATAGTGTCTTATGTGTAGTAAATGTTTAATAATGGTTAAAAATGGTTATTGCTTTTAAATAATATGGACTCCCTTGTAATGTCATTATATGTGCATTCTGTAATGTTCACTCTGGCTGAAAAGTAGAAAATGAATTTTAATGTGGAACACTAGAAAGGTAAAGTAGATATTTAGTAATCCAACTGAGAAATGACGGTGACTGGTACTATGATATTTAGAAGAAAGTTGATAGATTTGCAATATGTTTAAAAGGTAGAACCCACAGAACTTAGTGATATATGAGAGACAATAAGGAATGAAAATGCAAATTTCTTTCACTTTCAGATGGACAGATAGCTATCACATTTACTGAGAAAGGGAAGAAAGAAAAATTTGCACAAGTTCAAGTTGAGAAATGTTGATTTTTCCATATCTGTATATTATTCAATCAAAAACTATGAGTATTTGGTTCCAATGTTCTAGGGGTAAAAATGAGAGTCCTATTTAATTCATCATTTTATTTACTCATTCATGGCAATTCTGAAATCCTACATATTTCAGTCTATTCCAATACCTATAGTGAATCCACTATTATTTGTGAAACATGGTTGGCATTTTGAGTATGGAATTTATAAACACCTAGAGTTTGGATGCAATCCCTTTTTTTTTTTAGTTACCATTTATATTATTTAAAAAAAGAGCAAACTGAACCACCGCTAAAAGCGCTAGCATTTGGCATAATTCAATAATTATGCATACTGCTAATTACAAACCATAATTAAACAAATGGATTGATTCCAGAACCTGTTGGTTTAGAAAGTAATAATGATCAACCATAGAAGGTACATTTTCAAGGCATCATATTGAGTATCGCCCCCAATCAGATTTTTGCTAGCTGATGGAAATGTGAAGACACACACTTGCACACACACAATCATGGTCTATACTCCCAAAGTTATATAATCATGGTGGACGTTACACATATAAACACATATACTCCCTGGAATGTTAAGATCCAAACATTTATAGGGCACATTCCCTATCTTTAAGGAAATTCATCCCTAATGATAAGGCTCAAGACTGATGAAATTGTGAGAAATACAACTTGTAGAGAGGTCAATCTAAGGTGACTTTAGCAACTACTAGCTATTTAACACAATTTTGTGTATTGCTTACTATACAGTCTTTCTGTTTTCCTTGATATTTCTCTTTATACTTTTACTTATCTTCCTCTCACAAAAGAGAAGTCTTACAGAATTACTTACAAATGTTGTTGATGATGCACAGGGTGGTTTTCAGTTTCATAGGGAAATAAGAATAGTTACTCTGAAAAGGGCTTTATGACTGGTGGATCACATGTGTGTCTTTGAGATTCCATGTTTGTTTATTTAACTCAAAGACCCCCAAAAGAGCCTGCTGAGGCCAGGAGCATGCTGAGTAATCCAGACAGAACTGTTCTATGTGATTATCTGAGCCCCAAATAAACCCAGCACATGAAACATATATCAAATAAAAGCTTCTCTTGGGATCAGAAAACCCCTTCAAAGAGACTCGATGTGAAGTGGCTGGGAAATAAACCAGGCCCTCTATCCAAGATTTCTTTCTCCCTTTTAAAAAGTGTCCATCAGAGTATATATATTCTAGTGCTGTGAAACTAGGTCACCTGCCTGGCCTCTATAGAAACTAATCCCTTTCATTCCCTCCCCATAACCAATCTTCCCTTCTATTTCCATCCATCCATTCCCTTTGAGACCTCCCATGCTGAAATGCAGTGGCAGAAATACTCTCCTGAATATATATAAACACCTTCTCAAATTTCAATCATCTGTCTATAGACCTAACCCCAAAGTGAGCTCATTTATCTTCAAGAGGCCAAATGTACACAGTCTTATCAAGCAGAAATGGCAGCAGCCACCTGCTGTGTCGTTTGCGCAGAAAAGCACAATGGGGCCACATTCTTGGAGGTATCTATCAACTTCAAGTTCATTTGAAAATACTAAATATTTGAGACTATTATTTCTTTTCGTATGTATCTTCTTTACTCTCCTTCTCCAACATCATTCTATAAGAAGAAATCACCAGGGATCTGTAGTAAAGCTTCAAACCCACCACTAAATATCTATGCTTAGCCTCTTATTTATAAGGTAGAGATAATGGGACCTGCTAGTCAATACATGAATCCTAATAAAGATCACCAAAAGTAGCAAGTATGATGGTGCCTTTAACAAATAAAATACAATTCAAACTCACAGCATGTTATGTTGTGCTTTCAAAAATATATGTATTGCTTCAAATTAATCATGAAACTATATTAAAACAAAATACCTTCTGCTATTTATTTTTACTCATGAGGGAACTCTTTCTTCCAAACAAGTAAATCAAAGAGGACTTGGCAGAATATGTTTACAATAATCATCAAACACATATAATTTTTAATTAATTAGAAAAAACTTGAGGTGTTCTGTGTAATTTAACCAATACAATTCAGTTAATTCTTTTGCAGAACAAACATATGTACTTCAATAATTTTAAAATATTTTAGTTGTAAACACGAAAGTGGGCAATTTAACTAATTTTAGTATGTAACTAAAGAAAAGTAATAGGTGATTGTTGAATTTTTATTAGATGTTTTTTTAAAAATCTTATACAGTTAAATACTTCTTAAAGGGTTTACACCCAATCTGAAGTGTTATTTGCATTACAGTGAAGATATATTTATATAACTCTAAGCTAATTATTATCCAGACATTAATTATTGACCCAATTTTTAAAAGAAAATATAAAGACTCAAATTATCTATAAAATTTTTCTTAAAGAATTACTTAAATAAATCATCTTAATTCTGTGTGTGTGTGTGTGTGTGTGTGCACGTGTGTGTCTCTGTGTGTAAAGCAAAAGACTCTTGGAACAAGTTGTACTGTGATGCTTTCTCATGAACAAGAAGTGAAATTATGAATGAATAAGCACTGCTTCAATTCTAATGTATCAATATATTTGACAATAATAATATCAGTATATAATGCAGTATATAACTGGAAAATATAGTATATATAATTATATGCATGTATATGTATGTGCATATGTGTATATATAATATATACATAATAACCTGTAAAATAGATATAAGAGGAAATAGCACTAGGTCTCAGGCACTAATACTAATTGTCTGAAAGCCTTTGTCTCTGTTTCTATCGTTTTGTAGTGAGAAGAGAAAGCATATGTTTTCCCCTCTCCAGATCCTTCATCAAGGAATGATGACAACTTCTGTTCCTTCCTACCCCAGTCACCATACCTATATGAATGGCTTCATCATCCTAGGATCAAGAGTTGTGCAATGATTATATTCCGGAGGTCTTACAAGGTAGAATGAGTTTAAATACAAATTATCTTTGCAGACATAAGAGCTTTTCCAGTCAGGGCAAATTGACAGAATGACGCTTGTAAAAAGATAGGCAATATCAAATACAGCTGACTTGAAACTATGTAGAATTTATATATATGACAGGTAAAATGTAAAATGGTGTAACCAGCTCACAAAATTGTTTGGAGCTATTTGCAAAAGCTGGTTATACACATACCCTATGTGTTAGATTGAATCAATGGTCCCAGTTTTTGTCTATATTGATATTATACATCTCATCCTTGCCATTACCTTAGAGTAGATGGAATGTACTTGTTCTTGATTTTAGACTTGACCATGTGATTGACTTTTGCTAGTGGGAAGTTATGAATATGATGAATATGATGTGAGTAGAGGCATGAAAGGTACATTTGTAGTGGGGCTCGTTCTCTTGATTCTTCCATCATCATGAGAAAAACATGGCCTGAGATTGCCTCTGGTTTCAAGAGAAAGACAGATACTAATATGAGGAACAATTTCTCCAATAGCCTACAGGTGTCTGAAGGGAAAATTAATGTTATTTTTACCACTCAGATTTCTGGCATTGTTATAAACAGCTTCATTCATAGGCAATTACATGCACATATACAGTTATAAATGTACAAAAAGGCATGAATGAAAATATTTTATCAACATTATTCATATTGCCTCTAAACTAAAACAATTCATATTTCATTGTTATCACAATATACAAATAAACTCTAACATGCTTGTAAAGTGGATTATTTTTCTGTGAAATTTAGGAAACTAGCAATACATCATAGTACATGGTTGAATCTTAAAAACATGTTAAATAAATGACACACAAAAGAACATACAACTGTATGTGCCCATCTATATAAAATTAAAAAGTAAGCATCTAGACCAAGCTATATTTATTAGGAAATACTTTCTTGATCAAGATGGACATTACTTGGATATTACTTTGCGATAAATCATTTTTCTGTACCCTTTTTTGTATTTGTTATACTTTACTTTTAAATGTTCTGTTAAGAAGGCAATAATTTTAATTACTTAAATCTAAATAAAGGAGAAAATACCCAGTTCTAGTTCCCTATTTTTTCACATATTTAGAGTAACACAACATTTGCACAAAATTACTCAATCGTTTTTATTAACTAATTTTTTCAATTATTTTTCTTCCTCTAGTTTTATCAATTTTTATATTACATAGTGACAACTTCTAGATATTAAGTCTTCACATGTAATAAATTCTGATAATGCTGATGAATATGGGTGACGGGGGTGGAAAATAAAATGATGCCAAAGAACTTCTGTCCAA